CATTTATTTCTCGAGATACCTACTAATATAAGTAGGTTTTCTTTCCTCTGTACTTCCCAAATTGATTTCTACTAATGGATCTTGGGCCTCAACTTTTTGTGATTCGATGTGACAGACCTTTCAAAACCTAAAGGAGAATTATCGTAAATGCAATTGAGTATAACTTGATCACTTTTATTTGCTACTACTGTCGAGTAAATCGACTTATTTATTCCTACCCTAGTACTACTACTTTCTTGACTCTCTTTCTTTTCATTTTCGTATCTTCTCAATCGAGCCAAGAATTCTTCATAGTCTTCATTCATTTTCATCGACCACTTCGAGGCTGACCCCCTCTTTGATCATGACAAATCTTTTTTTCTCATTCATTTCCAGGAAACGCTCCTCATGCATTTTCGAATTAAAGTCTTCAATAGTCTCGAAAGTGAATGGTTGAGCGAGCGCCAAATTTTGTAGTGATCGACCAGCCTGAGACACGAATGTTACAAATTCATGCTGGTCTCCTTGTATTACTTCGAGATGTCCATCTCGATTCCACATAAATAGCTTCTGATGGACCGTGGAGGGTACTGCTCCAACCCCATGAATCCACTCTCTGCCAAGTAATGCATTAAAGTTGGCATGCGATTGGACAACTACAAAAACAGTGGGCCTCGAATAAGTACCCACTTTCACATTTAAGGCAATCATGCCTTCTGAGCTCGATGATTTCCCGCTGAAATCGGAAATCATAATATTATGCCTGATTAAGTCTTTTAATTCGATACCAAACCTCTTTAACATAGTGATTGGTAGTATGTTTACCGCTACACCACCATCCACAAGGACCTTATTCACCCTCTGTCCTTGAATCTCGATATTCAGCAACAAGGGTTTCAAATGAAACCTCATTTCCTCTGACGGAGGATCGATAAATGCAGCGTCTCTATGAGGAGATTCGCATGACACTTGCGTTACCCACGTCACTTTCAGTCTCATTTCCTCGGAATAGAAATCATCCTCTCGATTGATGTCACTTTGCTCCTGAAACTCCTCATACTCTGTGGGTAGTATCGATATTATTCCGATCTGTTGTCCATCCTTACTATTTTCATTCTTGCCATCGACAAAATCTTTTACATATTGACCCCTGATCGGTATATTCTGCTCTTCAAAGTTCTTATAATTATTGAACCTTCCCCAGTAAGGTTGGATTCTTCCTCCTCTCCTCCAAGGCCTTCCTCGAAATCTCCTTTGGAACATAGGGAATCCAGTATTTGATCATTCATCATATGAAAGTCTATCGAAAACATCATTATTTTGAAGTCTACCTCTTCCTCCCCGAGGAGAATACATTTCTTTCTTAACCCATCGCTTTTGATTTCTACTAAAACCAGAACCAACAGATTGCTGATTCTCCCCCACTGTCGTCTGGGTTGTTTGCTCCCCTTTAACATTACAACTCTTTTGTTGTTCCTCTACTTTCTTGATCTGCCCTGCCCTGAAGGATTTAACAGCCGATCTGTCAAACACCGCGCTGCATCGTGGACATAATGTCACGTCTTCGTCCTTCTCTTTCTTCCTGTTTAAAAATTCGACGAGAGAATCTTCTGATCGAGGATAAATTTCTCTCTCGAATTCTTTCTCAAACTCGCTTAGGTCGAACTCTATGTCTTCTTCTGACATGTCTAGGATCAATGTCTTTAGTAACATCGACCATACCTATGAAGACTGAGTTTACCAATCGAGCATCTTCAGTAATTCTTGATTGAGACTCGACATACCCCACCTACACTTCTAATGGATTAGTATCTACTTTCATCGACATCTCTTCAAACTATAACCTTCCTTGGTCGATTGCATCTTTTCCAAATGATTTAGTATCCATTTTTAATTCCTCACTCAGTTATATCTCCACATTCGATTTGATATTGTGTCACATGCTCAATAGTGGGTTTACCGATTTCTCCGGCAAATTTGGTGAACTTTGGTACTTTATATCCTCGAGGTAGTTCTGTCTCGAGATTTATATTTGGAAAAGGAGAAACAAAGTACGGTTGGTCAAATGGTCTTAATTCCACTCCTTGGGGATTTATCATTTGTCCCAACACATGATTGTACTGCATCATGTTATTCTGACTATACATATTTTGAAACCCCCCATTTAAATCTCCGTGAGCATCATTCCTCACATGCTGATAATGATCAGCATTTCGATTTCTCCTTAATAAATAAGGGGGACTAATGTTGATGTTTTGGTTATTATCCTGATTGGCATTATTTTTTACCCTCGTTTGTCGAGGTACTGCCAATGCATCCCCGATACGTGTCATTTTATCTGCTAATATCTCAAAACGATTAGTAGTGCTTTGAATTAATGGGTTTAATACTATAGTCAACTGTTGTGACAACATATTAACCATCTCGAACTTACTTTCATCCATTTGTTGTTGAAGCACTCCTAATGAATTACTGGAAATTTCAGTACTAGCATTTTCGATAGCATCGAAATTGGATCGATGATAATCTTTATCTAATGCATATCTCCCGTGATCCAGATTTACTCTGTTATCTAGGTTTGGTATTGGAGAAATCTGTTGTGTTCCTAAACTTTGCGCATTTCCTAGATTCTGAGGCATTGCTAAATTTTGGGATCCACCTACATTCGGGGATACTCCAAAATTTTGGGGTATTCCTAAGGTTTGAAATGTTCCTAGGTTTTGTTCAGTATTCACAGGAATCGACGCACTCACAATTGTCGATATTACAGGCATAGTTCCTTTGTGAACTTGCCCCCCAGTGTTTGGTGGATTCAGACACTGACTATTTGGTGGATTTTGACTCATTCTTACTATTCGTCCACTCCTTAATCTCATACACTTTCGAACTAGTCAATTTTTGCGTATTAAACACATTTTTCCCCTACCTGGCGCGCCAATTTGTTTTTGGTGAAAATTTGATCGATTTCTCAGAGACTTAGGTTCTAACCAAAGTTCAACCACGTAGATTCTTTTTACTTAGGCTAGCAAATAGTTTTCAATCGAAACATGTATGAAAATCGAAAATACCATAGTATTGAGAAATGTTAACAACGCAACATATCATACAGATTGACAATCAAAAGTACTATTTTTGGTATTTTTTATTAAGAAACGCGAAGTAAAGAAAACAGTAAAAGTGTCAAATCGAAAAGCAGTGCAGAATATTAAATTGCAGAGAAATGTAAAATGCGGAAACCTCAAATTTGCATTAAGTGTAAATGGCAAGGAATCGAAATTGCAAAAATGTAAATAGCAGGAAATCGAAATTGCAGAAATGTAAATGGCAGGAAATCTAAATTGCAAAAATGTAAATGGCGAAGAACTTAAACACATAACCTTAACTTGCATAAAAGTAAATGACAAGGAATTTAAAGGACAGAAACTTAAAGTTGATAAACGTAAATTGCATGAAAGTAAATTACCAGGAAAAGTAAAGAAAGCGATAAAGAAAATCAATGAAAATGGAAATCCAGAGCATTAGAAACTTCATGATGTGTCGTTCTCCTGTAGACTTTTCACTTGCGTTTCTGTCGTCTCTGCCAATTTCTCGTTCTTCTTCAAGCTTCGTTCTATTTATAGGCATCCTTTAATGTAACCTCCCAAGAGTCAGTTAAAAAACTGCTACCACGTTCCATGTACACGTCCCTCGATTTTTACCTTAGCCTACGGTTTAGAAAACCACTTTCACGTTCCACGTACGTTTTAACCGTTCATCGATTTCTAATTAAACCACGATTTGGAAAGCCACTTCCATGTTCCATGTGCATGACAATTGTTCCTCTCGATCTCGATTCCAGATATCGAGTACTTTGAATTGCTTCTGATTTTCTATTTAACTTCATACTCAATGCCTTTCATCGATTTTTACTTCCCCATGATCATCGAATTTGTCTTCGAATTCTCGATTCTAATTCTCGATTTCCTTCAACAATAGCCATAAAATCTTCTTCTTTCGATCTCGATTCCAATTCTCGATTTCAATTCTCGACCGATGTTTTCATACTAATACATGGTCATCGAATGTCTTCCAACCATCTTTTCGATGTATCAATTTTTTAACTAACATACTATCCTCGATTTCTTTCATTCCGCTTCTCGATCCATATATCGATTTTTTCCTACCAACACCTTGTTCACGCAAGATTTCTCTAAACTCGTTAGTATTGGTTATTCATCAAGAAAATTGATTAATTTAGTTATTAATATTAAAAAAAATTCAAAAATACTTTTAATATTTTTAAAAGAAAAGATACTAAGTTAGTTTAAAATAAATACCTTTTCATCTTCATTTTGTACTTTTTTAATCTAACTAAAAAACAAATATTTTTATGATAATTAGATTAAAAATAAAGATTTTTTATGAGGGAATTCAATATGATTAAGAGGGTAAAATTCATTGTCTGATAAATATTTAAAATTTTAGAATTTGTACGAGGTATTTGAATTAACTAAAATTACAAAATTTCAATTTCTCCTGCAAGTTTTAGAATTTCGAAACTTTTTAGCTTTCGATCTCGCCCGTTCTCTCTCGCGGTTCATACCCATCTCTCTGGTTCCTCTCGCTCTCGCGTCCATTTATTTGTGTTTTGATTTCAATTTCATTGATTTGTATTTATATTTTTGATTTCATTGGTTTGGTGATGGAACCCTTGGCTTTCTATTTGTTTCTCTACCCTAAACGCGTGGAGTCAATGCAAAAAGCAGAGGAAATTATACCTTCCATTCATTTTCGTTTAGCATCGTCAATCTGTGTACATGCATTAATAATATGGATATAGGATAGCGCATATTTTCTTTGCTTTAATGTAACAGCGTAGTTTATTTCTTAAATCATGGCACTCCACTTACTTTCATTTGTACACAATCACTTATTCTTCATGCATGGTTTTTGGCACCTCTCCCGCTGCGTTTTGTGTTTTCTCTTTCAACACTGTTTTTCTGATAGGGTTAACATTTGTCCCAATAACTTTCTGGTTGTGGATGCTCCCAATGCACAAGTTTGAAGTTTTTTGTTTCCCTTTTATTTAGGCTTAAAATTGTTTGATTGGTTATGTGGGCGTTGTACAGGTTTTCAGGATATTTGTCGAACGTATGTTGATGTAATTTCATACATTAAGACTTTTGTATATCAATCGTTTTCTTTTTCTTAACTATTGAAATTTTCGGTGAGATTTTGAATAATATATGTTTCGTATTTATCAATCGAGATAAACTTACCAAAACTATAGTGTATTTAAATTTAATCGAATGTTAAATGATTTAGGAAAGGAAAATGAGTGACCTCTTAACAACATTTTCGAAGAAGATTGAGGTAGATACCATCATCAGAGACACCTTCGATAAGGTTGTGGTCCTCCGTTTTGGTCGTGCCTCTGACCTTACCTGTCTCCAGCTAGATCACATTGTATGTTTATGTACCTGTATCTTCTCAGTACATTTTAATTTCGGTGTTTTTTTTTTTTTTCTCAAAATCAAAATATTATTTTTAATTTCACTCCTTTCAAAATCTGTCATTCTTTGTGGCTTCTCATTGATACAGCTTTCTAAGGCAGCAAGGGATGTGTCTAAGTTTGCTACTGTGGCGTTGGTTGATGTTGACTCCGAGGAGATTCAAGTCTATGTCAAGTATTTTGACATCACTTTGATACCATCTACAGTGTTTTTTTTCAATGCCCATCATATGAAAATGGATTATGGGTATGGTTTCTGCTCTTTGCTTTTGGCTTCAATGCTTGCATCCTGTTTCAGTTTTATTCGTGATTGGTTCACTTAATAAGTGGTAGATACTGTTGATAGATGATTTTCTTGCGAACGGCATTCCCCTTCGAAAAGTATTTCTTGAAACAGAAAATTTTCTCAATTTCAAAAAGTGACGAGATTTTCATTTTATGACTATTGTTTTTGTTTTTTGAGAGATCTTGGTATTGAATCTTAAGGTGGATACTGAAGTTTTGCAAGACATGGATTAGATGGTGTAAATATACTGCTTTATTATTTTGTGATCTTTTATTCTGTAAAGTTTGAAAAAGTGTTCTAATGGTGAAGTATCGTGATCTTGTAATTTCAGCTTTACAAAAAGGAGATTCAGCCACCCTTCATAATTGCGTTGTGTTTATCTTGTATTGTGAATTGTATCAATTAATTTTGAGCAAGTCTTTTGACTCTTTTGTTACTTCATGCAGGACTGCCGATCATACTAAATGGATTGGTTCTTTTCTCTCAAAACAAGACTTCATAGATGTTGTAGAGGTTCATACTCTTATTTATTGGCTTAACATCGTTATTAACGTTGATTTTTTTGTGCAATCATAAATATTTTAAGTTAGCTCCAAATCTTTTGTTAAAGCAGTAACTAAGATTATGAAGTAAAAGTATGCTTTTAGTTTTGTTTGCAGATACTAAAAAGTGAACTCACTAAATTTTTCCTACTGTTATTTGTAACATCTGCATCATGTTATTTGTTTTAAAAATCTTGTTATCTAAACTTCATCAAAGTATCATCATGAGGCCAGTTGAAATTTTTAATGAGAAAAAAATCTGTTTGATAGTAGTCTTAATATGTTGAGAGGACGTGTAGATAGCAGACCGTTTTGGATGGTGAATGCTTAAAATTGCCGGATTGGCTTGTGTGAGCACTGTTATATGTTAGAGCATGTTTCCCCTCTGGCACACTGCATTTGTTTTGAATGTTTGGCCAATTAAATTGATTTCAATTTTCAAGTATTTGATATATATATATATATATATATATATATATATATATATATATATATATATATATATATATATATATATATATATATATATATATATATTCTTTTTTTCTTTTTTTTTTTTCCTTTGCCTTTCTCTCTTGCCTTAACAGTTGGATAGGAGATTGATAATTGTATATTGGGAGTTCATTTCTGGTGTTAGATTCGCTTCAAGATAACATTACCCTCTTTTGGTGTTTGTACTTGTAGTTTAGGGAACCCCAGGAGGATAGTTTTGTTATAAATGCCGTTATAGATCACTTTTCTGTTCTTTTTCTTTATAAACTCTTCAATATATAGGAGTCCTTGCCTAGCCAGAATGGACCAGAGCCATCCTTGTGCTTGATGCTAATGAAAATGAATAAAAAGCTAATAACCAAAAAAAACAGTACAGGTTAAATAAATGAAATAAACCCACTATACTAGTAGGAGAGGAGAACGTGGTCCTCTCAACAGATAGAACATGGGAGTTTGGCTCTGTCACGATACTTAAATATTTAAAATTTTAGTTTTTCTGAAGTGTTAGTTCCTAGATGTGTCCATGATAATTGACTACATCTTTCTTTTGCTACAATTCACAATTTTCTGTCCTCTAAAATTGGTCTCTAAGCACATTTAAAAGTGAGCAACCCAAGTACATTCTCGTTTTGTTTGAAGTCATCTTTAACCCAGCCTAATTGTGGCTTCTTTGGGAGGCCTTCATTGTAACCCCTACTCTAGCATCATTATACTGGGTTAGAGGGATGTTTAGTAATATATCAACTAGATACATATCCAAAGTAATGTATGTAAGGGCTCATTACCTTATAAGTTAATTTTCTGGAGTTGAGTTACATTCTAAACACAAATTTTAAAATGTTATAGGACTTGTTTGGGCGAGCTTATCCATAAAGACTTCTAGGAGTTAAAAATAGAAAGAAAAAATGAAATTGATTTCACCATAAGTTATAAATTAGTTTGTACATGAGCTAATTCGTAGAAATTTTCTCATATTGTTTTTCAATTTTTTATTTTTTAATTTATGCATAAACTAATTTAAGTTAATGGAGAAATCAAATTCATTTTTCCCTTGATGCTTTTTTCTTTTAAAAATCTTTATGAAGAAACTCATCTAAAAATAGACCTTAGCACAAGCTTGTCTCATGAGCACTTAAAGCAATCAAAAGAAGAGGATGGGAAAACATCTCCTTCCGATTTTTGCCTGTTGAAGTACTTGGTTTGGAAACACTTTTCAAAACTTAATAGATTTTGAATGAGAAATCGTTTCAAATTACAGTTTTTGAAACGAAAATGTTATAAGGAAATAAACGGGCCCTTTCATTTCAGTATTCTACTAGAGTTCTTTGTTTCTGTTTCAATAATATCATTTGTAAAATTCTCAAAACAATTTACATATTAGCAGACCATGTTGGAAATGTTCCCTTTTCTAGTATCTATCATCATTATTCACGAAACTGTTTATATGTGTGAGTGTGTGTATATATTCTTGCAGGCAATATTTAGAGGAGCGATGAAGGGAAAGCTAATTGTGAATTCTCCCCTCCCGCCTGAACGTATACCAAAGTTTCAGATACTATACAAGGATGTCTGAAAATGGAAATCAGCCCTTCAATCCTTTCTTTCCGTAGGGATAATTAGTTTGTAAGTTTTATTATTGTCTTTTTTCCTCTTTTACTTAGCATGTGCTGACGTGTAAAGTTGAGCTTGTGTGTTAAATTTTTTCACTCGTGTTTTGTGAAATTAAAGTTTGTTAGTGCCGTTTGATTCCTTTATAACCTGTAATTATTCAATTGTATATCCAGGTTCTGTATGCTGTGAGCGTGGTGTATATATTTATCCGATTTGGATCATCTTATGTTACTGACAAAGTTGATAAAGGAAGGACTCTACCGTGTGGAATTGACGACGAGGTGAAGTTAAATTGTTATGAAAATTGGTTAGTATGATTTTAACATGTATAGTGTACCATACATTTTGATTAAGAAAATTATAGTATCAATTTTTAATTCTTGAAAATTATTTTCTTTCTACAACCGAAGTTTGCTCAATCAAAATCATATATAAATAATTTCGGAGTTTGCATATCATTTTGAGGTAGGGAAAGCTTGTAAACTTAAAAAGTATCCAAGAGAATTTAAGTAGCTTTATCTCGTGTTAAGTTTAAGGTGTTCATGAGACAAGTTAAAACCAGAATACTTGTGTCCTCATTAGAGTCAAAACTTTGATTAAATCAATTCTTTGAATTTAAGCTTAAAATATGATTAAAATCTAATAACATATGGGACAAAGTTGGATCAATCAATATTACCATTTTCTACTTGAAGAAATATACAACTACAATTAATATATCACTTAAAATATATATTTTAAGATAAATAACGTATTATGTTAGACAGAAATATTATCATTAAGTTAAAAAATTGTATTATTACATTCTCATAAATAAACTTTTAATCCATGAAACAAATGCATTCCAAATTATTCACGTTTTATAAATTAATTTAAACGCATATAAAAAGGTTTTTGAAGTCTTATATTAACAATTTACACATGACTCATTTTGCGTCATGTAAAATAAATAATTTTAAAATAAAAATGCGAAGCACTAATTTTGTTTAGATATTTTTATATTTATTATTATATATTATTATCATTGTATATTTATTTACTATTCAATAGGATGGTAATGATGATGGGTAAGAGTTTCACGTTCATTGGGCATGGAAATTTGTACTGAAGAACCCAAATTTGCCAATACACTCACCACTCAAAAGTTAAGCCCAAAGTTCACTAACCCAACAAACTAAGTAAACTGGCCCAAGAAACCGCATCTTGACCCATTCATTTGTTTATAAGCACAAAAATCCCATTATCCACGAGATTCGAATGCTACACAGAATTAATAATAAAAAGCTTGAAGAGTATCGATTATCTGAAAGCGAGAACTGATTCCATAACTTAATGTTTGATACATTACTGTTGAGTGTGTTTGTGCGAGACAGGGAGCAACTGGATCAAGGAACACTCTTGCTTTATATCGTGTTGTAGTTTCCTAAAAGGTTCTTTTTCTTGTCTTGTCACGTTGTGGGTGTCATTATTAGAACTGGAATTTGATCGATATGATTAATGCTAATGTACATGGAATATGTAATAGCATCCACATCACCTGAAAGGAAAATGTTGCTTCAGATTACTCAAGATAATATGTTTATATTTTATTTTGAATTTTAATATATGCATTAAGATTAATTATTGCATTTTATTTCACACTTTTATTAAATTAAAAGATAAGTTTTTATATAATTTATCTTTAATCTCGACTTTTAAGAGATTTTTCAATGAATAAATTTTCAATCGATTAATTGAATTTCCTTTAATTTTTATAAGATTTATATATATAATAAACCTTCAAATTCAACTTGGGCTTGGTTATATCAAATATGGCCCAAATATTAACAAGTTCTCAAAATCCTCAAGTGGACTTCACATAAAGACATCCATTTTTTTAAGATGAGTGAAAAAAAGGTTTACATTTATGAAAAAACAATTAGTTTGAAAACAAAATTTATTTTGTAAAACAGTTTATATTTAATATTTGTATTCTATTTTTTTATTTATTTTACTTTTCACTAGTATCTCCTATAAAGACAATTTTACTCAAATTAATAATTGAACGTGATAATCTCTTCAAACAAAATACAATTTATCAGTGTTGTGAGGGAGACTTTAGTATAGAACCAATACTTAATGATATATCCCTTTAAAAATTTTAAACCATTTTGTTTTATAAATGACTTATTCTCAAACACAAAAATGAAATACTGTATGGGAAAATTATAATGTTTGGTGTGGCTCTTGAAGTGCTCAAAATTGTTTTGTTTGGTAAATAAAACCTAAGACCCAAGGTCCATAGAGCCTGTAGTATAATATATAAAATAATAACAACCCTAAGATTGGACTATTTTATTATTATTAAAATCATAGAAAAAGCAAAAACATAAACAATAAATGACTACCATGCCAACTATTTGGATATCTGTCACAAGACAATACCATAATGACAATTAAATATTTCAAGTCAGGTTCTCTGAAAACCCTTTTAGTTTAATTGGGTGATTGATTATGTTGTAACATCTATCATCATATGAGAGTGAAATGAAATGCTTTTTTATTTCATTTTTCTTTGTAGTGGTGGAGGGAGAACATGCTGAGTGTTTATATTGAAATAAAAAAAAAGGTTCTTTTTCTTTTTCTATTTTTTTTCATTCTATTATGTAATTCTAAGTGACATATCCCTTGCCATTAAATAAATATCCAAAATTATCCAATAAGAGACAACCTTTCTTCTTTCGTAGCCCCACCTTTTTGAGTGCTTTGAATCTTCCAAAGAGTTGCATAAAAAAAAAAAACACCCTTAAATAGTTGTAATTAAAAACATCCAAGAAGCAATGAAATTGAAAACCTTACCAAACATGAAACATGGGACCATACATGTTTGTTTAAACCCCACGACATGGCCAACTCGGTTCCAACCAAGAAGTTTCAGAATAAAGTCCTGTTTTTTCTACTTTCCCACTTCCCAATTCCAACCCTTTTCTATTCAAAAAAATTAAAATGATTTATGAGTACCCCATAGGGATTTTGAATTCAAATATTGTTCACATTCAAAGTAAATTAAAAATTACAAAACCTGATACGAAATACAATTTTTTTTATAAAAGAACAAAATTAAGTTGTTTTTCTCTTTCTTTCTTTTTTTTTCTCAGAGAAAAAGTTTCCTTTTAATCATGGGGTTGCTTGTAGGAGGTCCATTAAGGTAATAAAATAAGAAAAATGGAATCAAGTGACGAAGACAAAATCATTCAAAACATGAATTGTTGATATTCAAATCATCCAAACATTGAAAATTGATTTCCTAATCAAACATTCAAAACTCCACATACCTAGTTCTTATCAACTCAACCTGTTTTTCAAATCCTTCAAGTTAAGGTTATAATAAAATAAAGCAATTGTGTAAAATATTTATATGGTAGATGAGGTGGCCACTCGATAAAGCCTTCCCCAGAATCTTCTAAGAAATCATGTTACGAAACAAACATAAATTATTAGTCACATTGTCAGTAGTAATCAGCAGAATAAATAAAATCTGTTGAGGTTATTAAACAGTGCAGAAAACCATTGTGTATCTTGTTCAAAGTTTTATTATGATTGTAACTACGTTCTAATCACCAAACGCATGTGTTAATGTTTCAACTTCCAACAGAACTTAACTGTACACTGGATTTTGCATAAGATATTAATTAAACTTAAAATATAAATAAATGAAAACGAGTTAAAATTTGTTTATATTTAAAAAGAAAAAGTGATGTTTTTGATATAATAATAACAGTGGCGTGAATAACTTATTTTCAAATAATATGAGATTAGGCCAACACTATGTATAAAATGTGTATTTGTAAATGTAATATCTCAAAAAAAAATATATATATATATATAATAATAATAAATTGAAAGATAATATTAACTTATCTTAATGAGTAAGTTTTATCTCTCATTAATGATTGTAATGATTTCAAAAAAAAAAAAAAAAAAAAAAAATTTGGCTATAAAAAGGGGTAGGGGGAAGGATGAGTAGGGAGAAAGAGAAAGGGAAGAGAGAAGGGAAGAGAGAAAAAGAAGGGAGGAGAGAGAGAGGAAGAAAGAGAAAGGAGGAGAGAGAAAGAAAAAGAAAAAGAAAGAAAGAAGGAGGAAGAGAAAGAAAAAAAAAAAAATTGTCTCTGTAAAAAAAATTTTGTACCTCATCCGCAGCTCTTAAGGTAGGGGAGGAGAATATTATCATTAAATCTACTTTATTTTGTTTATAGTTGTGAAGTGAGGTGTCCCTAACCTCATTCTATTTATTTAGTTATTTGTTTATTTATCTCTAACTACGTAATGGTCCTTTTTGCTTATTTTATTTTATCTCCAGTTATGCATGGTCCTATTTTAATTATCTCCGGTTATGTACTGGTCCTTTTTGTTTATTTTACTTTATCTCCAGGTTATGTACTTGGTCCTATTTTATTTTATCTCCGGTTATGTACTTGGTCCTATTTTATTTTATCTCCAGGTTATGCACTTGGTCCTATTTTAATTATCTCCAGGTTATGTACTTGGTCCTTTTTATTTATTTTATTTTATCTCCAGTCTTGCACTGATCCTATTTTAATTATCTCCAGTTACGTACTGGTCTTGTTTGTTTACTTTATTTTATCTCTAGTAATGCAATGATCCTATTTATTAGTCTATAGTTATATTAATCAATTACAATAATATCTATTTGTGAAGATTTGATGATATTGTAGATGGAGGTTGGACCTTGGGGATTTAAATGAGTAAATATCACTATGAGCATGATTAAAATTGAGCTCATTTATCCTGACTAGTCACTACAATTTAAATCTTCATAAAATAGAATGTGTTGAGAAAGTTGAAACATATATATCTATATATTATAAGATTGTATTATTGTAATTGATAAATGTTCTCACTCCCTATTGTGATCTTTTATGCATGTTTTATTTAAACACCAACTTAAGTAGATGGAGGCGC